AACAAGACAAGAAAACTTATCGATAGAGGCGTGTAGTCACTGTCCTTAAGAATAGATTTTCGCCCTTCTAAGTATGAACACAGTGCAATAGGTTATGGCGTTATATCCTCCAGGATTCAACTATCACTTTTCCACAAGCGTGCACTCGCAACTGTTAGAGGTGTCTCGAACAACTCTTGATCATTCCCAAATCAAAGTAATATAAGTAGTAGTATATTTATTGGTATATCAGGACACTGGTTGCAGCAGGTTGGCATACTAATCACAAAATCTACTATATGTAAAACCTACTGATCAAAGGTTTTTTTTTTTTCCTTTTAACAGAAGGTTGCCTCTCAATTATTCTTTTATCTGGCTCTTCTTTTTGTTTCCCTTTCTATCCGAAGATCTATATCTCAAAGTAGTCATTCATCATTGCTTTAAATATCCATCCAACGGATACACTGAATAGGTTGCAATGGTTTGAAAGCTAGGTGAACAGGTCGCAACATATTGAAATTTAGGTGCAACGGTCTGAAACTTTCCATAGTTATAATATAATATTGGCAGGCACTTGAAAATGCATTAAAAAATTCAAACACTTGAACTTTCTTTGACCTTTTGCAACGGTTTGCAAACAGACAATAACGGTTAATTGCGAAACTCAACAGTTATTAATCAACGGTTATAAACTTTGAAATTACAATTCCGGTGTAACTCATCTAAAAATAATTTTTATATAATGTTTTTTAAGTTATATTTCTATACACATATATACGTTAGAAATAATTAAATATATATTATATTTTGAAATATATATTAAATACAACAGTTAAACTTTGCTAGCACATGATGCATATCTACCTTGATGTGGAGATAGCCCGATTTTGTATAGCCCATCTAAGGTATGACTTATATCTTCTTTAAATGTTCTCTATTGATTTCATGTATCTCTCAATTTTTCAATGTGTTTGTAGAATAATTTTGGAGTTTGTCATTTTTTTTTCAATAGATACATTAAGTTTTATGGTTAATTAGAAATTTTCTCCTTCAAATTTGTGTAATATTGCAATCAAATCTTTCTGATTTTAATTTCAATAGATTTTCTCTCAAAATTTAAATATTTTCAATCAACTGTTGCCGATAATTTTTGTAATTAAAAATGTGACAAAATTAGTCACACGTAATTAATGGGACCTCGTTCCCAACAATTGTGACTTGAGACGTAGAAAATAAAAAGGTGAGAAACAAGAACCCCCTACTAGTTGGCATTTCTTTGAAAAAAATTGCCCTTGACCAAATTCATAAATAAAATTGTTCAATTGTTGGCAAAAAGTAATAAAAATTTTGTATCCTAGAAAATTAAAGCACAATTTCTTCAATCAAGCCAACACAAACACTTTACTCAGAATCAAGACGCACCTACCAATACCTTACTTCCAACCACACCAACTGAGACTAACACAAAACCCAACACCAACACATTCACTCACAAGCACAGCCTACATCTCTATGGGTCTCTGTCTATTTGTTTCTCCCTTTGTTTATCTTCCTCTCTCTTTCTCTTTTTCTTTCTCTCGTCAATTTATCTCTTCATTCTCTATGCCATATTTACACCACAAGCACAAAAGAACTCAGTTGGGGCCATTTATTGACAACTACAATCTTCCACTTCATTACATTATTCTATTACAATTCTTTTATAATTACCTCGTGATTGAACCACAACCTCATATTGAACACAACCAATGCCATCCACTCGTGTACTAATACCAATTTTGTAACCTAACTCTATCAGCTAATATACATGGGGGAGGGGGAGGGGGAAAGAGGAATGCATATCTGCATAAGAGACCAACTTTAAGATAAAGAGTTTAGATATGCTATGTAAAGCTCATACTTTATTTACTTGAACTAAATACTAAACTGTGATCATTTTAAACTTTTTTAGAATAAAATAGTGTTGTAATTGAATCCAGCAAAACCTTGGGGTACATGTTAGGATGAAAACTAAAGTGCTGGAGGGAGTTAAATGGTAATCCTCGATTAGGAACTATGTTGAAAACAAAATTGGACTGAAAGGACTACCGGTCGGGATAGAGAGCTTAGTTGGTTGACCCGCTTGAGAATCTAGTTGACTAATGCTGAGGAAGAAGGGGTGCTTGATTGACTTACACCGATTTGAGATTTTTGTTTTGTCGTATTGTGTATTTGTACTATGGGTATAAATATCCTTTTTCCTCTTATTTTCTCCACATCTCAATATTTTTCAAATACTTCAAACATAAGGGAGAAGACTAGCTAGGGTTCAAGATTTGAGATTCATTCACATTGTTTGTCCAATTTTTAGGTATTTCTCATGTTAAATTTATTATTTTTATTTTTTATTTTTTGTTAATGATGCATATCATGTTTTTTGAGGGTTCATGTTTAAATTATATTGATTATACGAAAGATATATATGTTCATTGCATCACGATTGAGATTAAATTAGGGTTTTGATGTCAATCATGTTTTTGGTTGCATGTAATATTATTGTGTCGATTATGGCTATGATATTGTATTGAAAAATATGAATTATGTGATGCATATGGATTTGATATTGGATTTTTGGATTATGGATGGAAAATTGAGATTGTTATTGACTTGATCTGGAAACTTGAATGCACTATGTTGGTGATGATGAGTCAGTAGATGCCATGGTTCTTGTGAGGATACCCAAAATTTGTACGGATATGTTTGATTCATGGTTTGTAGACGTTGTGGTCCTTTCGATGATGCACAAAATTCTTAAAATTCCTTGGGAGGCTTGGTCAATTGTATCAGATGTCATGGTTTCCTGTGGGGTTCAAACAGAGTCTTGGTACCAGTTTCCCAAAGAACAAGTATGACAACATTTTTCCTAGGTTGCGAGATCCCAAAGATTTCTTGAAAAGAGACCATGTGTGGGCAAGTCATTGGTTGTTTGTCAATGTTGATATGTGTGGCATCCCAAGGCTTCTAGATTAATAATTACTACGTTTGTGCATTTATACTAATTTGAAGTAACATGCATAATAATGATTTTGGTTGCATAAAATAATTTCTATAGATATGTATATGAAATTCTAATATTCATTATTAAATATATTACTTTCAAAACCTTGATAAGGTTTGAGAAATATTATCCTATCATGCTTCACAACTCATTCTTATTTATCATTTCCTTGAGGAGACTCGAGTAATTACTTGAGTATCTCATTTGTTTATGGCAAGTTGTGAGAGGAATCGTAAACCATGTTTAGTTTCAATTTTGATTAGTATTTAGTTTTTGCTTCCAGTGTGTTTTTTAGGATGGGCAAATTGATCGTCCTCGACACGATTATGCATGTGGAACTACTTTAGCACGACCTAGAGATCTCCGAAAACAAACCAATTTTGCATCTAACAACCTTTTTTATCAATTAATAAATTGATTAGTTGATCAAAGCTTAATGAACAAACCCATAGTAAATGAGTGGATGCAAGATGTGCATATTCAACAATATCAACTCAACATGAATCACCATTATTATCCATCCAAAAGCCAACCATTGGATATCAAACCAAATTGATGAAGCTATAAGATATGACAATCAATGAGTTAATTCATCATACACATTGCGTGTGTATGTATGCTATTGCAAGCGTGTGTACGAAAAATCAAAGCAATAAACAACGATTCACAATACGAGTAATTTTAACGTGGAAACCCTAAAGACCTCGAGACCGATCTTGATCTACCTAAACCTAATCTATTATTTTCAAAGTTGATTACAAGGTTGGAGACTTATACCTCAACAAATTCTTCCATGGCGAGATGTTTTCTCCCTTGAATCTAACCCTCTGCTTCTTTAGGGCAAATCAAGCTCTACTATCTGACTTTGTCTCAAGCGATCTTCAAGGACTCATTCCCAAGATTATCGAAATGCACACACTTCGATATGGATTTAGTGATTCTCCACCTAATCTCTATTTTCTTCAAAATATGAAGTTGAAAAGCAAGATTGATCTTGTAGATCTAAGGCCTTTTGGATACTTAGGGATCTAGGGTTTGTTCTTGATTCTCTATATGTTGTAAGAGGTAGATACAAGATTAATGAGAGTTATCCTAGGCTAAGAAGGCTTGCTGATAATTATAACTCTGTAATTAGAGTAGTCTTGGTGCCCAAGAAAACTAAAATTCGCGAGGGACTGCTCAAGCTGTTAGAAAGCAGTCATTACTGAAATGAGAAAAAGTCCCAAACTTGATCTATTGAGCAAGGACCACTCGTGCCGTCTGCAAGTCGTTTGAGAGGCTAGCAAGCAGTCTCCACTGAAAATATTTTTAGCCTCTTTTTTTTCGTAAGTATTTAGAGATTGTTCTAGTCGAAGTCTAGTGAGCAGAGATCGATCTCTACTGAATTTTAAACTGAAAACTATGTAAAAACTTATCCCATTTAGTACTCAGAGGTAAATGTGATTTCGTTAGGGGTGTGTAGAGCAAGGGGTGTATAGAGAGATAAAACCAAAAAAAAAAAACATGTCTAATAAGTGTTTCACTTGGAGGGGTTATTGGTTGGAAAACTTGTTTATACTATATGGAAAAGGGGTTTTCATTAGAGGGAGAAGGGGAAAGAGGGTTCGATGCTATGGCAAATTAATGACAAGAGTTAATTGAAGAATGTCCAAATTTTGAGAGGATAATTTATTGAAATTGAAACAAAGATAGTTGATTGCAATATTTCACAAACTTGATGGGGACAATTTGCAATTAACCCAAAGTTTTATCTCACATTAAATCAATTTTGGTATTTTTTTTCCCTGTGTTTGCCAACAATCATGAAGTTCATGAATGTTAAGTCAAGTAAAACTAAACTTAGTTGGTGGTTGACGAAATTTTGAAGATATGCAATTGCCGTATTTCAGTTATAACATGAAATATTTCAAGGTATTAACTATCCCCAAAATTACCTTAATCACTTTGTAATTTTGAGACCCATAACATTCGAAAAGGTACCAAACACATTCGTTACATTCAGACTTCTACCCAAACCCACAATTAATCTTTAGAGTTATTCAATTTTGGCTAACACATGGATCCGAAAATCTGCACAAAGAAGGAGGAAGTTACAAGTATGTTGGTAGAACATGGGAAAGCAACCAAGCACTCCATGACCTTGACACGTAGCCCACTAAGGCTACAATTCGAGGAAGAGGAAGAGGAAGAGGAGATGTTTCAGAGTAAAAAAGGTGAGATGGTTAAAATAAAAAAGCAAGAAAGGAAAAGAGAGAGAGAGAGCAGAGAAGGAAGAAGAGCAGCAGAAAAAAATCTGAAGCTTTGCATAGGTATATATTCGGTTTTCTCTTGATTTAATTAGTCTAATTGTTGATTTTCAAAAAAATGGGTTGAAGTAGTTGTGATGTGAATTGATCGTAACGATCCTGAATCCCTCCTCCGAATTCACAAATTTAGGAGTTTCCAGCTCCTCCCTCGAGTTGGGTACAGTGCAAATTTACAAAAAAAAATTCACCTTCTTCTTGAACAGAAAAGAGCTTTCGAATTTTTTATCAAGCGAGTTTCATGGAACTCTCGTCTCTTTTTCTTCAGCAAAAAATTAATGGCGTGAACTCATTAAACAATTAATAAGGGACTCTGTCTCTTCTGAAACCATGGCGCGCCTCAATTTTTTTTTTTCCATTGGGTTTGATACTTCCCAGCTATTTATCTTGGTTGAAGAACAAAACACATGTTATGAATGGTTTTTTGTTCATACAAATGTGGAGTTTTAAACTCTAATAACTTGAAAAGTCTTTGACTATTTCACCTTTGGGAAATTTTTGAAGCAATGGCCGGCAATGCCAAAAGTATAACTCTTAAAGACTCTTTGTATTCCCTTTGAAATTGCTATTTACACGAGTTTTCAACTCTTAAAGTCCATAGGCATAGAAATAAACTCTTCGACTCGATGCACAACAATTTTGCCAGGATTTGTGTAAGCTAGAAGGACCCATAAACTCCTTCAAAGATCTATTGCAGAATTTGGTATAAGAGCCTCAAGCTCCCTAAGAATTGTGGATCCAAGGAGTTTTTAACTTCACACAGAGGCCGGCTCAAAATAATTTGTGGCCTAAAACGATACTTGTAATGAGATTTTCTATATTTAGTGTTAATATTTTTTATTTAAAATTAATTTTTCTTACTTTTTGAGTTACAAAAATATTAATTAAATTTTTATATTCAAGTTTTTTTACCATATTTTTTTCATTTTATAGTATTGCTAATCTAGTTAATCTTTCTTGTGATATAATCGATCTCAAGTAAGATTTTATCCATTTTATTTTTGAAAAGTTTGTTTCCGCATAAACAACTGTTGTATTTGGAAAAAAATTTAATTTTTTTATATAATTTAATATCTCAATTCGAGTATTTTCTTTCTTTGTAAAATTTCTTTTTCAATATTTTCTATTTCATTATCCTCTATTTCATTATCTTTTATTTCAATATTTTTTATTTCATTATCTTCTATTTCATTATTTTTTATTTTAATATTTTCTATTTCAATATTTTTTATTTTATTCTCTTCTATTTCATTATCTATTTGTTCATTTTCAAAATTTTCATCAAAATTATTTGTTATATTATTTTTGTTACTAGTAATAAATTTATCAAGAGATTTTTTTTGAGATTCTATTAGTTAGTTCTTTTTTTTTTAATATTTTGTATCCACTTGGTTGTCTTCTGGGTGCCATATTATTAATATATTATAACTATATTATAACAACCAAACAAACACAATATATAGTATAGTTAAAATATATAACACAATCTTGAATTTAAGACATAATTTTTTGTTTGAAAACTAAAAAGAAAGCAAATAACACAAAATTTAAAATTATGAAACAATAGAATCTTGAATGATTTTAGATGTTGGCTTTTGGTTTTGAACTATGCCGCTCATGTTGCAATGAAGACTAGAGTAGACGATGGATGATGGAGACCGTCTCACCATCTCAATTGGATGATGTTATTTTGGGAGCACCGTGAGAGAGAGAGAAAAAAGGGGGTGTTTTTGGTTTTAGTTTAACGAGAGAAAGAAGGAAAAAGAGAGATTGTTTTTTGTTTTGGTTTATCGAGAGAGAGAAAGTTAAAAGTAAGAGTAATGATTTGATTTTTTGATTTTTTTTTTAATTTGATGTGACTTTTGTGTTTAATTTTTTTTTTAAAATTTTTTATTGTTAATTTTTTTTAGATAATTAATATTTGGATTGGGCTATGGGCCTAAATTATTTATTGGGCTTATATTTTCGTACGGTTTTTTTTACATGAGTTATTTATGGTATTTGAAAATTTGGGGTTTTCCTTTAAAATGAGCTTAATGCACAAGCCTTTTAAAGGGAAAATTGGAAGGGGGTATATCAAAATAGAGTTAATTGTAAAAAAATACACAGAAAAATATGTAGGGTAAAAAAATCCTTAATTTTGATACTTATTTATTTTCAAGTACATTATTTGAAATTTTCATATTTTCTTCTAACTTTTATATCCTTCCTTAATTCATGCGTATTTTTTTTAGAAAGTGGTGCATTAAACATTTTCTAGTTTTATGGGAGAACTTTAATATTCTGTATTTTTATGTTCTCCCTTAATTTATGCTTATTTTTTTTAAAAAAGTGGTTTGTTTTCAAATTATATTAATATCTGAACTTCATAACAGTGTAATAATATTAGTATAATAATAACAGTGTAACAAGATATTTATACAAAATATTGTACTGTTCAATTTTGTCAAATATATATTTTCATATAATTTTATTCAAAACAGTTCATCTCTATTTTGAATTTGTTACCACATGCGCAAAACTACTGAACCCTTTTTTTGTTACAATGTATTATTACACTGTCTTTGTTATACTATTACGGAGTTTAGATATTAACAAATTTTGAAATTCAAACAAAGTGATATATCCTAAAATAAACAGAATATTAAATATTAAAGTTCTCCCATAAAATTAGGAGATATTTAATGTATAAATATAATTTAAAAACAAAATCACTTTCAAAAAAAAAATATGCATTATAAATTTCGAATTAAATAACCCTAAATTTCAGCATTTAAGATAAATGTCTTGTTACAGTTTTTAGGAAAGAAAATTTTACAAAATAAACATTTATGTCTTTGTATCTCAGCTGTGTAATTTTTTTCAAAATATTTTATTCTGTGTAATTTTTTATAATTATGACTAATTTGATATATCGGCTTTCAAAGGACCCTTTTTAAAATATGCTGTTGGGCCGGGCCAGGCTCCACGTTGCTCAAAACCGCGAGAACGGAGCCTATTGCAGCATACACCAGCTGCAAAGCAGAGTATGCAAGCCATGTCCACACCAGATGCAGCATCAAAGGTTGAAGCAGCTGCAACTGCTAAGAATGGAGAAAGATAATGTTATTAGCTCATTTTGTTAATTAGTTGGTTCGTCTGTTTAATTTTTGCTGAGTTGTATTGCCTAGCTGGCAGTTGCCATGTGAAGACATGTGAAGTCATATGAGAGTTAGTTTGTTAGATTGTTAGACCTTGTATATAAAGCTCATATGTGTACTTAATTCATTGATTCAATGAAATAATTTACAGAATTTTCTCCATGACTTAGATTCTTTGCTTTCATATCTTCTTCTTCCTCCTTGGGTTCTCTACATTCTTACATGGTATTAGAGTTGTGGAAGTTAAAGCCAGGATCCTCCACCACTCAACACAAAAATTATTCATCTACTACCACAGAAAATCCATCACGATTTGCAAAGCTCACTGATCCTTCTAATCCTTATCGATTAGAAGGGTGATAATTAATCCGAGAGTCACTTTGGTTTCTGAGCTACTCACCATAGACAATTATGCTACTTGGTCAAGGGCAATGCGACGAGCTCTTAGGGCCAACAATAAATAGGCTTCATTGATGGAGCAATTTTCAAGCCAGAGAATGTTGATAGTTCTCTTCTGGAAGCTTGGGAGCATTATAATGATATGGTAGTGTCTTGGATTTAAAATTTCGATCAGTTAAACACTCAAATCGAGTGTTGCTTTTGTTAGATTCTCCCTGCAATATGGACCAAGAAATTTTCAATTGTAGTAGGCCATAACAGGTCTGATGTAGGAACAAGATTCTATGAGCATTTATTATGATAAACTCAAGACACTAAGGGATGAGCTTTTTGTTTATGATCCAATCCCCGACTGTAGTTGTGGAAAACTTGGGATCTTGCTAGATCAATATCTAAGAGACTTGTGTCATACAGTTTCTCATGGGCTTAAATGATTCTTATGCTAACATCAAGATCAGATTATGCTCATAGATCCATTGCCTCTTGTTAACAAGGTGTTTTCCTTTGTGCAATAACAAGAAAGGCAGCACAAAATGATTTCTCATGATCCTTCACCTGATTCTATGGCAGTAGCCATCAGAAATTTTCCCTCAAATTTCAGGTTTGGAGCCAAATCAATAGTTAATCAGAAAAAGAGACAGACTGCACTCATTATCGAGTTCAAGGTCAATTATTGGAGAATTCTGTCAAGGCTGAAAATGCAGAAGCTCCTATCTGCACATATTATCATATGACCTGCGATTTAGCAGAAAAATGTTATAAGCTTCATGGATATCCACCTGGACACAAACTCTTTAACAAAACAAAGAGTTCTGGTGCATTTGCTAATCAATCCAGTGTATCCATTAACGATAAAGAAGATGAAAGTGCTGATAAGGTTGTTTTAACCAAAGGCAAGTATCATCAACTTCTAGGCTTACTTTAGCATAAGGAATCCTCACCAGCTCTTCCTTCTACCAACCAAACTCAATCCATCTTTAGTTCTATAACAAATGAACTAAAAGCTTCCAGGATGTCTGGTATTTCTATTTTTTTTTTCAACATACATGCACAAGCCTACTAATTTACATCATGTTCCTTGGATAATTGATAGAGGTGCTACAGACCATATGATCTGCAACACTTCTCTCTTTACCACTATTACATCAACAGTTTCTTATTCTGTTAAATTGTCAAATGGCAATGAAGTTCCAGTTACTCATATTGGTATAGTCAAAATCACAGACACCATCATTCTGAAGGATATCCCGTGAGTTCCATCTTTTTCTTTCAATTTGTTTTCTGCAAAGAAAATTGCAGAATCTCTTACTTCTTGTGTTGTTTTCTTTTTTCATGTGTGTTTTATTCAGGATCTTATGTCTTGGATAACGATTAGGATGGGTGAAGTGAGGAATGACTTATATCACCTGCAGGAACTTGAAGTCTCTCCTTCGGCCTACTAATTTTTCAAATTTGTAGAATAAGAATATTTTGGCGTCTACTACTGTTATTAGCCATAATTCAGTTTCTGATTGTTGACATTGTCACCTTGGTCACATTTCCTTTTCTAGACTAAACTGATTGATGATCCTACTGTACAAAAATCCATTTTTTCTGGTAATAAAAATCCTCTTTATGTATGTCCTTTAGCTAAACAGCATAAATTGCCCTTTCCTATTAGTGACCACATAGCTTTTACTCTATTTGAATTGATACGTTGTGATCTTTGGTGTCCTTAACCAATGACTGCTTATGATGGCTCAATATATTTCTTGACCATAGTTGATGATTTCTCTAGGAGTACTTGGCTTTATTTGATTAAGTGCAAATTTGAAACGAGAACATGTTTGGAATCCTTTTACCATCTTATTGTGACACAGTTTGGAATTCATATCAAAATCCTCAGAAGTGATACACTAAGGGTATTCTGCATCAAAGAAGTTGTGTGGATACTCCCCAACAGAATGGTGTTGTGGAGAGAAAACATTAGCATCTCCTGGATATAGCTAGAGCTTTAAGATTCCTAGCTCATCTTCCATTGGAATATTGTAAAGACTGTATTCTCACTGCAGTCTACCTCATTAATAGAACACCAACCCTTATACTGAACAATAAAACTCCTCATGAACATCTTTTTAGTGTTAACCCTACTTATTCTCATCTTAAAGTGTGTTTGGTTGTCTCTGTTTTGCTTCTACTTTATCACATGGTAGAAAGAAGATTGATCCTCAAGGTAGAAAATGTATTTTTCTTGGGTATCCATTTGGAGTCAAATGTTAGAAGCTTCTAAATATTGATAGTGGAGCTATTTTTCTTTCTAGAGATGTTATCTTCCATGAGTTTGTTTTCCCTTTTCATACTGAGTCCTCTTCTTCTTCCTCTTCTCCTAGTACAAAACATTCTAATCCAGTTTTCTCTTTGCCTCTTCTTGATAATTTTGTTTTTCCTCCATCATCCTTACCCACACCATCTTTTCCAGAATGTGATAGTACTGTTCTAGTTTCCTCCTCCTCCTCCTCCTCACCTACTGCTATTTCTATTCCCCTTTTCTCTTCTGAGTCTGCTGCGTCTCCAGATTCTGTTCCTCTTACTTCCTTTATCTCACCTTCTATTCCTGATCCTTCTCTTGAAGATCTACTAGGACAAGAAAGGCCCCTCAATACCTGCAAGATTTTCATTATTCACAAGCCAACCTTTCTTCACCAGCTCAATCTTTGGACAAGATGTCATCTTCTCCTTCAGGTAAACAATTCCTTTTAAGTGCTTCTTTATCTTATAACAGATTTTCTTCTTTGTTTTAAGCATTCTCTTCTTCTATTCTTATCAAACTGAACCTCACACCTATCACCAAGCTGTTAAAGGGCCTAATTGGTGCAAAGCTATGGAGGCTGAACTCTCAGCTCTGGAACTCAATAACACTTGGGTTATTACTGATTTACCTCTTAACAAAGAAGCAAGTCAGTGTATGTATGTTTACAAAATCAAATACCAGTTAGATGGTACTCTTGAAAGGTTCAAAGTAAGGTTAGTAGCTAAAGGCTACACTCAACAAGAAGGAATTGACTATCATGAAACATTCTCTCCTGTTGTTAAGGTGGTGACAGTAAGGTCTCTGTTGACAGTTGTAGCAATTTAAGGATGACATTTGCATCAATTTGATGTTCATAATGCCTTTCTGTACGGGGATTTACAAGAAGAAATTTATATGCAGAAACCACCTGGATATACTAAGGGTTATCCTCATCAAGTTTGTAAACTTCTCAAGAGCCTCTATGGTCTTAAATAGGCCTTGAAGTAGTGGTATTCTAAGTTCTCCACTTCTCTTATTGAATTTGGTTTTCACCAATCCAGGGCTGATTATAGTTGACTACTACAGATTCTTTTACAGCTCTTTTGGTCTATGTTGATGATATAATTGTAGCCAGCAACTGCTTGGATTCCATTTCTTCTCTCAAATTATTCTTGGATCATAAGTACAAAATTAAGGATCTTGGTTCTTTGTGGTATTTTTTGGGCATTGAAGTTGCAAGGCCTTCTAAGGGCATTCCTCCTTGTCAACGCAAATACACTCTGAATGTTCTAGTTGATTATGGTACTCTTGGTTCCAAACCTCTCTAGGTTCCACTTCAGTCAAGCTGAGCAAAGAGGCTTGCCATTTGTTGTCTAATCCCACTGTCTATTGCATACTCATTGGCGTATTATTGTACTTAACCATTACCAGAGCTGATATCAGCTACACTATTCAAACATTGAGTAAGTTTATGGACAAACCATCCACTGTTCATTTAGCAGCTGCACACAAAGTCCTGCGTTATCTCAAAAAAGTTCCGGTGTTTTCCTTTCCTCTTCTTCTCAGCTGCAGCTCAAAACTTTTGGTGATTCAGATTAGACTTCGTGTCCTGATACTCGCCGAGCCATTAATGGTCACTGCATGTTCTTGGGAAATTCTCTTGTTTCCTGGAAATCCAATAAGCAATCTGTTGTGTCTCGCTCTTCTGTTGAAGTAGGATATAGAGCAATGGCATCTACTTGTTCTGAGATCACCTAGTTAAGATATCTTCTTGCTGATTTTCAGGTTCCTCATCCACAGGCAGCATTGCTTTTTTATGACACTCAAGCTGCTCTCCACATAGCTGCTAAACCTGTTTTTTCATGAACATACTAAATATATTGAGTTGGATTGTCATCTTGTTAGAGACAAAATTCAAGTGAGCAGTACCCAGACTGCTCATGTTCTCACTCAATATCAATTGGCTGACATTTTTACTAAAGCCTTACCCTCTTATCTTCTTAATGCTCACTTATCCAAGATGGGCATAGTTTATGTCTATTCTCCATTTTGCGGGGTGTATTGCAGCATACACCAGCTGCAGAGTAGAGTATGCAAGCCATGTCCACATTAGATGCAACATCAAAGGTTGAAGCAGCTGCAGCTGCAGCTTCTAAGGATGGAGAACGATAATGTTATTAGATCATTTTGTTAGTTAGTTAGTTAGTCTATTTAATTTTTGCTGATTTGTATTGCCTAGCTGGCAGTTGCCATGTGAAGACATGCAAAGTCATGTGGGAGTTAGTTTGTTAGATTGTTTAGGCCTTGTACATAAAGCTCATGTGTGTACTTGATTCATTGATTCAATTGAAGAATTTACAGAATTTTGTCCATGACTTAGACTCTCAGCTTTCATATCTTCTTCTTC